AATAAAATAAAATAAAACCCATGGAGATCTTTAAATTTATTGTAATTTTGTCCTTTGACACTAGCATGTGGGAAAGCTGGGCTTCAGGGCCAGGCCTGGGTACTAAGGGCTGGCACTGACCTCTACTGCATCAGCTTCTCAGACGGGCTAAGGTGTCCTCTACGAGGTCAGACACTAGGACTCCAGTTACGTAAGGGCAAGGCGCGAGCTGGTTCGCTCCCCCAGACCTGCTGCTGGAGGAGACAGGCTCCCTGGGAGGAGGGGCCAGGCAGCCTGTCTGAGGCCCAAGCTCAGGCCCGCTCTGTTCCCAAGGGGCTGCTTTTCTAGACAAAGACAGAGACTCCTGCCTGGCCCGGGTGAGTCCAGTTCCTGCCTTCTGTGCTGACTCTTTCAGCCTCTGGATTGAACTGGGACCTCCCAGGGAGGGGACAGCGCCTGAGTGTGGAGGAGCAGAAGCCATGGGAGGGTGGAAGCCCTAGGGCTCCTTCCTGCTGTGAGTGGGTTTGGCTTTCCAGGTCTGGAGGTGCACACCCTGATTTTAGGTATCTACGTTTTCACAAAATAGATGTCACCTTCTAGCCCCTCTGCCCACACAGGCTGCTATGTGCAGGGTCCCCTGAGTGGGCCTACCCAGCCGTTCACATTGCTCAGTGACAGCTGGGCCTCATGGGAAACAACCCCATTGGGTGAGGAGCCCATGCTTCAGTTTCACATCTGTGTAATCGCAGGGCCCCTTTAGCCATTTCCCCTAGCGAGACCAGGGGTTCCCCAAAGAGCTTGCCCTTGGCTGTGGTGCAATCAGGCCCGCTTTTTTTTTTTAACTGTCCTACCTTCACCTACCCTTAGTTTCAAGAGACACAGCCATCCTACCGATCGCTCTGCCAAAGCCATTGCCTCCTCCAGGATGATTTGCAAGGAATCTCTGTCTCCCAGCTCCCTGTTCACCGCTGTTCCCTCCCCAGCCCCATCAGCCAGAGACAGAATTGTCTTTTTTCATTTTGCTTTGGATTTTATTTTGTTTTCAGTGCAAACCATAGCTACGCATGAGCACAGGTTTCTCAGCTATTTCTACGAAGTTAGTTGTGAACAACTGCAGGGCTGATCTATCTCTAGAATGAGCCACTTTTAACTCTTGAAATGGATTCTTTGGAACTGTCACATTCATATCTGGAAATAACATCCCAAAGGGTTCTTCCTGATCTTCGAGTGTTAAGAATTTCATCTGGATTTCCTGCCCTGGGAGATGAGTATTTCTTCTTGGCCCCAGGCTCCATCTGCCCAGTGCAGTAGTAGATGATCATTCTGGTTATATCATGATGTAGTACTGACATTTTACAGCCATGTAGAACTCTATGGCCAGCTGAGCCATATAGTGCAGTAGGATTATTATGTCTACCTTTCTTCAAATTTGGATAGTCACCAGCTCAAGGGAACATCAGGCATCACAGCCTAGTAATACTATGTTTCAATCAACGACCTCCATGGCATTGCCAAAGCAGTTCTTTCTCTTTCCCTCTTCCTTTCTCTCACCCTCCCTCCTCCTCCTTCTCTCTCCCTCCTCTTCTGTCTCCCCAGGGCTCAAACCAGGACCTCACACACACTACAGAAGTACTCTAATATTTAGCCCAGCCTCTTCCTGAGAAGTATCTGTGGTTAGGCTAATGATAACTTTACCGAGAAGCCATGGTCCAAAGAAAATCGCTACCTTCTCGGTTTATGTGTCACTAAGAGACCACGGAATGGTGGCTCTGAGGTGAATTCCAGAGTCTCAGGGTGAGCAGTGTGAACTCACCCTCTGTATTCTGTGGCTGTGTGACCTTTAGCAAGTTGCATATCCCCTCGCAGCTTCAGTTTCCTTATTTGCAAAATAGAATTAAAGGATGAAACTGCCTACCTCATAGTACCGACTGGGACAGATTGAGATGGTACCTGTAACAGGCCTAGGACATGGAAAAGGAGCAGTAGTGGGCATTATTATTATTCTTTGCCTTTTTTCAGTATTATTTATTTAATTTTGAGATAGGGTCTCACTAAATTGTCTAGGATGGGCTTGAACCTGTCTCAGCCTCTAAGAGTGCTGGGAGATGCCTTACTCTTGGCTTACTTCTTGTTGGCAACTCCTTGCTGGAGCAGCCCAGAATGAAAAACCAGCAAGCTTTACACATGTTCAGGTCTTTCGATGCGGTGCCCGGCCGCTCATCTCTGTCCTGTGGAGCCCAGCGCACCTGCGCCACCTCCCCAAGCAGCCCCTGTGGGGTCTCAGCCAGGCACTGGAGGGTGGAGGCACAGCCTAGGAGGGTCACTGGCCGGGGAAAGGGCTAATCGTCCCTGCCCCCACTTCTGTCCTCGACTTCCATCACACAACAAATTTGGGTGTATTGGGGACCTTGCCCCGAACCGTGGATTTTCTCGTTGTTCTCCCGGCTTCCTCAGCTTGCTCCCGGAGGACTGACCACTTACCTGTCTCCTGTTCCCTTCCTGCTTCCCTGGGGGAAAAGGGTTAACCAGATATAATTCTAAGAAATCCAAACCGTGCAGAAGTACAAACAAGAAAAAATTTACATCTACTCTCCATCCTAGAGAGAATTGCCATTAACAGTTTGCTGAGTACCCTTCCAGGGAATTTTCTCTCCTGTGCTTCACAATGCGTGTGCATGCATATGTGTGTGCGTGTGCACGCATTTTGTGTACATGCACACACTTGGGAACATATGCCGCATTCACTTATGGCACACAGACACAAGGATAGTAATGGCATGAAGTCACACCGTGCCTTAAATTCTGCAGTTCAGCTCTTCACATGATAAACAGGCCACCTCCCAGTTCGGCCTTGACACCTTTGGCCCCATGCTGCCTGAATTTCTGTGGGCACTTGCCATTGCTACCAGGATGAGCAGTCATGTGATGGACATTCTCCTGCGGGTATCTATGTGATTTGTGTGAGCACTTTGTAAAACAGAGGGGTAGAAAGTAGGAAGACAGTTCAGAAGTTGCTCCTCAGGGATCTCCCTGGACCTTAGCCCTGCAGAAGAGGACCCTCCCCAGCTTTCCTAATCCCCCGCCACCTCCACTAACCCCCATAAGCCTTTGCTCAAACCTGGGTCAAGCCCACGTCTCATATGAGGATCAGAAATGACCTGCGGATCAGAAATGACTACTTTTCCTACCCTTGGTCTTTCCATGGAGCTCTTGGTTTCAGAAAATGAGAAACTTGAAATGCAGAGAGGGAAGTGGCCCACCCAGGGCCTGCCCCTGGCCTCTAGGTCAGAAGCTGCATCTCTGGACATAGAAGCGGGGCAGGGGTGGGAGGTAGGACTAGGTCACAGAGTTAGGCAGAGATGCTGATGACTCTGCCGGGCATCCCATTCAATCCCAGGACCCATGCTGGCAGATCAAGACTGCACCATTCCCATCTCCCAGATGAGAGAATTGAGGCAGACCTGGATGTGAAACAAGCTCTATCTGACTCCCGAACCTTGCTGGTCAGTCTTCCCTTCCCCTCCAAAGTCTGAGGTCTGGACTGCCAGTCTCAGGTTGTGGGCTGGAGGTAACCAACAGCCTTTCCAGGTGTCCTTGGCCCTGCCCACCCTTACTTCGGTCCCAGCCGGCTTGTCTCCCTAGAGGCCCAAAGCTGAAGGGCCCCCCTAGGCTGCTAGGAGGCCACTCCAGAGGACAGCCCTTCTGCTGGCTAGCAGAGAGGGGGCGAGGAAATGGGGTTCCTGCCAGCACATGGAGCCTACTTTGTTACTAAGCCCTTGAAAAGTCACCAGGCATGGCCATCAGGGGCGGGGGAGGCCAGCCCATTGGAGGGGGGGTGCTTGCACTGTCCGAAATCCCTCTGGCTGTGAGAGGGAGATAGAGCAGGCTTTGTAAGGGCTGGGAGAAGGGGAGACCTCCTGCCCGGGCTCCCAACCAGCTCTCTGAGTCCCAGAGCTGGGGACTCCTCGGGAAGGAGCTTCCTCTTGGGGACTCAAACCTACCACCAATACCCAGCCCTGGTTGTTGGGCACTGTCAGCAAAACACTCCCTACAGTGCCAGCCCTTGCCAGGAAGTGAAAACAGTGGTCCCGCAGGGAGAAGTCCTGTTACCCAAGTGGCTCAGAGCGAGAAGTGGGGTTCACTGGGTGGTGTCTCCTGTTGACTTGGGGTTTGAGCAAATGTCAGGAAATGGTGTCTTCTTCTCAGGCCCCTGTAAGAGCCTCGGGGAGGCAGTGGGCCCCAAACCTAGCTCACACCAGCTCCAAGTCTAGCTCCACCCTCTGCACACAGTTCTCTGTCCGGGCTGGCAGGGGCCCCTCTGCAGCCTCCGCCTGCCATTTCCTAGCAATTCTGTAGCTTTCTCATCTTTAGTAGCTTTTTCCTTATTTAAAAAAAAGCAAGACAAGCTCATTATGAAAAACAAATTCCAGCAATGTCTGCAGTAGAGGATGGAAGTGAGCTCCCACCCGCTCCCAGGCCTGCACTGCTGTACCACAAGCTCAGACTACTCAGGCTGATCTTCAATTTGCCTTGTCAAGATTTCTTCAAAATCCCCTTGTCACCTCTACTGGTTAAACAGCTCTAAGGGCTTCCTGTTGCCCTCAGATAGAAAACACCTTCCACATCTCAGCCTCATGGCCCTGCCTGCCTCTCCTAGGTCTCCGGCCACACTGCTGCCTTTCAGGCCCTTGTCCTCCCCTCCCTCTGCTCTTACCTTCTGCCTCTGCACTGACGTGTGTTCTGTCTCCAACTGGAGCGCTATTCATCTGAGGACACCTGCCCCTCCTTCCTCAGAGCCCTGGCCATGGAAAAGCTGGTTCTCTCTCACTACTGCTGCAATGCTAACTGATGGGCGTGCTTTCCCGGGCCGTGCAATTCCAGACCAACCAACTCCAGGAGCAACGAGATCCATTTTGTTTCCTCTTCTCGCCCAGAGGTTGGCACATTGTGGGTGCTCAGGCGATGCTTGGTGGGTGAATGGGCACAAGAAGCACGACGTCTCTGTTTACACGGCCAGCGCAATGCTGAGAGTGGAGGAACTCAGTGGGGTAGTAAAACAAGGCCAGAGTCTCACTCTGCGGATAGCAGACCAGGAGGAGTCCGGCAGGGGCTTGGGTAAGTGCTAGAATATTATTTTAGGGGGTCACAAGGCTTGCTTTTGAGGTCCGTTTTTGACCTTTTTGAGTCATTGCCTGCTTGTTGTTCCCTCTCTTCCTGTTCAACACAGGACCCTGGAGAGAGAGCCTTGATTCCTACTTCACTCCCTCACTGGCTTTTCCCATAAGACACCCCGCTCCTTAGCAATGTGTCCAGGCCAGAGAGCTACAGAGAATATGTGTTAAAAGGATGGATGGATGGATGGATGGATGGATGGATGGATGGATGGATGAATGGATGGATGGATGGATTGATAGATCAATGGATCAATGGATCAGTGGATCGATGGATCAATGGATGGATGGACAGAAGACCTCAAAAAGCTGACAAAGCCTCAGAGATTCCTTATCCACATTCTGATTTTTAAAATGAGGAAACTGAAGTCTAACAGAGGTACACCTTTAGTCACTTCCTCTCTTGGAGAATTCTATTGGTTTTTTCTCAGCCTATAAACATGTTTAAATGCCCTCTCACCTAAACAAAGCAAAGCATCTCTCTCCCTCCTTCCTACAGCTTCGCCCTCACCTAGGACCTCCCCATTTCTCTCTGTCAAAGTTCTTGAAAGACTTGTAAGACTCACCGCAGGACTTCCTCATCTCCCACTGCCCCTTGACCTCTTAGCTTCTGGCCATGTCACCATGGCAACTCTGAAGTTGCCACTCCCCAGGGAACTTCCTGGGCCCAGGCAGCAGGCTATGTCACTACACCTTCCTGAGACCCCAAGGCACTGCCTCCTACGGAGGCCTCACTTCTCATCCAGGAGACAGCTCCTTCCTCAGCCGCGCATGGCCCCTCTTTCTCCTGGCACCTTTTCCCACGGCTCCCCCCTCGCCATTTTATGTTCTTATTCTGTGTTCTCCCAGCATCCCTTGCGTGTCTGCGTGCCCGGCTCTTTGCTGGGCTCCTGGCTGCGTCCCCTGTGGAATCCTCCTGCCCAGCCTGTGCTGGTAGGTGCGTTAGTGTCACTTGTACTTTGCAATGGCGAAGTGAGACCCTGGAAATAGCTCAGTGCCATGCTGCTGGTGAGTGGCGTCTGAAACTCCACCAAAATCTTACCCTTTTCTTTTTGGTACCAGGAATTGAACACAGGACCTTGTGCTTGCCTTGTGCCACTGAGCTATATCCGGGCCCTGTCTTGCCTTTTTCATGCCTGTGCTCTTAGCTACAAAGCCACCCCTCCATCACGGCTGTTCCAGTCACACAGAGGCCTCACCTCACTTCTTAACAACCCTCAAACGTATTTTCTGAAGTGACCTTTCTGGAAACTGTGGACTTACTCTTCCAAAGCCCCAATGGAATTTTTTCCTTAGCTATCCCTCCAAAAGCTCAGGGAAGGCTCCTCAAGTCTCTGGCCAGGCTGACTTACTGAAGTCTGAGCTCCAGGGTCAGCAGTGACCGCCCCTCAGGGGGAGAGTCTTCCCTGCCCCCTCAGGCCCTCTGCCCTGCCTGCCCCATCCTGACCCCAACCTTGCGTGACTCCGCCCATCTCCTCCTGCTGCTGACCCTCTCTCCCTCCTCAGAGCCCGGTGCCCCGCAGCCCCACCCGCTCAGAGGCTGATCAGCTGCAGATCTTTGTCTTTCGTATCTAGAAACAGACCTCAGCAAAGTTCCAAACATCAGGGGTGGTTTCCTCCGCGAAGGAGTCCCGGTTGGCTTCGATTTGCACGTCTGTCCGCTGTTTGCACATTGCCTATGTTTCACTGTATAATCAGAAAGGAACTTTAAACAATGTTTAAAATGAATCTCCTTCCTCCGGCCCACCTGTACGAGGACTCACCCCTGGCCCCCTCTGAGGGTCCTGCCCTCCTGCAACCCCAGCCTCAGAACCCCTCCCAGGCCTCTCAGGGCACCCCAGCTGTGCCAGAGGATCCGTCCAAACACACAGTCACAATAGAGTTCACCAAAGAGCTGAAGACCGGAGGCCCATAAATGTCTGTGGGCTTGTCTACAGCGGAGAGAGAGGCCCTCGGCTGCCAATGCAGCCCACAAATCCTGGCATCAAATGAAAAATAGTTGTTCCAGAATAACGTATGCAGTATGTTCACGTTTATGTACATACTGAAAGGAGAGACACATGTACATGTGCTTGTATACTTAAGACACTTAAAGTACAGAGTATCCTCGGAAGATCGTCCCCCAAAATGGTAAATCAGTTGCTTTGGGAAAGGGATGTTGGGGTGGTGGAACCAGGTAAAAGAGATCAGGCAACATATGAGTGTTGTTCTATTCAGTTTTTAAAAGCTGTTTGTATGTATCTTTTTAAAAAAAGCATAAAATAAGCCAGGTATCATGGCTCACGCCTATAATTCTATCACTCAGGAGGCTGAGGCAGGAGGATCATATGGAGTGTGAGGCCTGCCCGGGCTATGTAAGTGAAACCCTATCTCAACCCACCCTCTTGAAACAATAAAAATTAAAAGGCATAAAATACAACTGAAGTACTATACCCGAGAACCCATGGTATTAACTGGGGGATCCTCCAGGTACCTTCTGGGGCCTTCTCTCCTACCCACCTCTAATGGTCCCACCTTGAGAGGAGCGAACAAGACCCCCTACTCCATGTCTGCAGGTGGAGTCTGGACCCTGGGCCCACCAGGACCCGTGTGCACCAGGCCTGCATGGGGATGGCCCCCTCAGGAGCCCAGGGTGAGAGCTGGGGGTGTCTGTGCCAGGGATAGTACCCCTGGCACAGGCAGATCACAGGGCCTGTTGGCACAGGGCGATCTGCCACACCTTTCTCAGGGTGGGAAGTGCCCTGACGCAGGGTGACTCATCACCCACGCAGCTGGGCTCTGAGGCGGAAAGCTGAGCTTCTCGTGCCCAGATGCAGTGGGAAAGACCTCAGGGCCCTGCTTCTCCACCAGGGAGGAGGCCCAGGCCTGGCCCGAGGCTCTGGGCTTCGTTTGTCTTCTCCTGCATCAGAGTCTCCTGGGAGGCAGGAAAGGAAAAGACAGAGCCCAGCAGAACTGCCAGCCAAGGGGTATTGTCCTCAGTGGTAAAAACAGTTTCCTTTGCTTTGGAGCATTTGATCTGAGCAGCTCAAAGCACTGAAGACCTCAGGTATTGTTTTCAAGAGTGAGAATTTGCCTAGGCCAAGAGCTCAGCAGCCTAAGGAAGAAGAGCCAGAGTGTCCAGAATCACCTCTTCTGCTCCCAGCTGGGGCCTCCCGTCTACTCCCTGCTTAGGCCCATGGGCTTTTTGGGGGAAGAAGGTACTGAGAACTGAACCCAAGGTCTTCACACTGAGCTACAGCTCCAGCCCATTTTATTTTATTTTGAGGCAGGAGCTCGCTAAGTTACTCGGGCTGCGCTCAAAATTGTGATCCTCGTGTCTCATCCCCACAGAGAGCTGGGCTTACGGGTGTGAGGCACCGCTCCCAGGAGGGCATGGCTTTGCCCCTGCCACCCTCCCACTCTGCCACTGACTCTCAGAGACATAAACAGTCTTTGTCACTCAAGACTAATTTGACCGATGGCCGCAGCCACTGGCTCCCTGCCCTCTGAGTGACCTGCCTGGCTGCTCAAGCTAGGTCTGGCCTCCGCCGTCCTGGGGGTTTTCTCAGTAGACTGTGTGACACCCTGAGCAGAGGTTTGCGGAGTCTGTTCTGGAGTCCCTGGGGCAGCGAGAGCCGCAGGCCAGGTGTGAGAGAGGCTGGTCTTGCTTCTGTACCAGAGGAGGTGAAGCGACTCCTTTCAGGCTCCCAGGCCTGGGGATGAGAAATGGACACAGTCATCCTTTGGTACGTGCGCGAGGTTGATTCCAGGACCCAGAATCCGCAAAGGTTCGAGTCCTGCACATAAACTGGCACGGTGTTTGCCTGTAACTATGCACATTCTGAGTACGGTTAAATCATCCCTAGGTGGCTTACAATACGCGGGTATGTAAATGTACGTACACAGCTGTTATACTGCATTGTTTAGGGAATATTAACAAGGAAAGCGACAATGACGTGTCAGTTGACGTGTCTAACACTGACGCAGTTTTCTTCCCCTGAATATTTTCAGTCTGGGGTTGGTAGCCTCCACGGATGCAGAGCGCAGTGACACGGAAAGCTGGCCTGCTGCCCGGGCGCAATGCATCAGACCCCACTGTGCACCGTGCCCCAGCGAGGGCGTTGGATCTTCACACCTACACAGGGGGCTTTGGCCCTATGAGACAGGTGAGAAAACTGAGGAGCACACCACCCACTAGCCTCGAGCCCCACAGCTAGGGGGGCAGTTACAGGTGCTGAGCCAGTCTGGGGTGGGGCCTGTTACGGGCCGGTTAATGTGCGCCGTCGGCGACCCAGTGCGTGGCTCCCAGTGGGGAACGTGGACCGATGTGCACCAGTTCTGACCAGCGGAAGCTGCTCTTTACTGCACTTGCTCTTTGCCGGCTTTTACCCAAGACGCAGCCCCGGCTGACTAAGGTGCTGCAGGACCTGGGAGCAGCTGACCCGGGGGACCCCTGCCCTTCTTTCACTCCCGTTCCTGCTCAGTGCAGCAAGGCGATGAACTCCATGGCACCTAGCGTCCTTCCTGCTTCGCATCCTGTGAATCAGCCACTGGGCTCTGAGGCCCGGGTGCCAGCACAGGAGCGGAGCGATTTGGTGTCAGAAGATCAAGGCCAGGAGGCGGCAAAGCTTGCCTTCACCCAGGCTGCTGGGCTCCAGGGCCCCACAGCTGTCGTTTCTACGAAGTTTTGTCTCCTGGGCTGGGAAATAGGGTGTATGGTGCATAGGAAAACCACCCACAATGGTGTCCCAGCACTCTGAACCACTGCCCCTCCATGTGTCCCCCAGCACCCCCGCCACACTCTCCCCTGGGGTCATGCGAGCGCCTGCCTTGCAGGGACGCCTCTCTGAGGGAGGAAAGGAGGGGACCAGGGCCCTTGGTTGGGAGTGGGGGAGCCCCTGCAGTGTGGTTCCCATCCGACCGTGACAGAGACACGAGGCAGTGTGTCCAGGTGACTGCCGAGGTCATTTACTTCTGGCTAAAAATAGATGTGCTTCGGCAGGTGGGTGACTCACAAGCCGTGTTCTCCTGGACCGAGGCATCGAGGTGCCGCAGGCCCTGGTTTCCCCCGGGTGCTCGACAACAGGAAGGGGTTGGTGACCAACACGCAGCCTGCCTTTCACAACTTCCTGGGCCAGCTGAACTACCCCCTCCTCCCTCCCCCCAAACTAACAGGTGCAAACCACGAAGGTCAGAGCCGTAGGGCCGACCATCCACGCTTGTGTTCCCGTGTACGTGTCACCTCCCAACGTGACGGACCACACAGCACCCGGACGGGGTCTGCCCTGGTTTCTGGCCTCCCACGCAGTGGGACCTGTAAGGGTGGCTGCCGCTCTGTCCCCTGGGCTACAGAAAATGTCCCTTCCCACTACCCCACACTCTAGGAAACAGCACAACCCTCGCTTCCCGGATTCTTCTCCAGGAGCTAATGGAAGCTGAGGATCGAGGCAAATATTTGGGGAATTTTGCCCCACCTCAGGAAGCTGTCTGAACAGATTGGTGCAAGGGGAAGAGGCAGGACTGGGCCCCATGGGTCCTAGCTGCTGGCCTAGGCTCTGCCACTCCTTGCAATGTGACCTTGAGCAAGTGAATTCGCCTCCCTGGTTTCTAGTTTTATCCTTTGTTTCCATATTTATTTCTTCAACAAATATGTATTGAATCCATATATACCATGGTAGATACAGGAAAAGAACAACTATAGAGGCTTCAAAATGCTCAGGAAGTCTTGACACCTTCTTCCCAATGAAAACTGGAGCTATTTCTTCATCCCTTGACGCTAGGCTGATTCAGTAACCTGCTTTGACTAATGCTCCAAAAATGACACTTGACTTTTATGAGTGCCTTTTGCAACCCAGCTGTCATAGGAGGAGGCCTGAACCAGCCTGTTCAAGAGGCCACACTCAGCAGAGAACTTTTCTGCCTGAGTGACAGCATCCACCAATGGCTAATCCAGTGCATTAGGCCAGGTGGATCTAACTCCAGCCAACCAGCTCACTGACCAAAAGTGTTTGAAGGGTCTCAGCACTCCAGGAGGCTGAGGCAGAGGATCATAAGTTCAAACCCAACCTAGGCAACTTATCAAGACTGTCTCACAATCAAAAAGGGCTGGAAGTGTAGCTCGGTGGGAAACCCCTGGGTTCAATCCCTAGTACCTCGGAGTGGGTGTTGAATGAGTTCAGCCAATGCCACCAAGAACAGAGACAGGCCACCCAGCTGAGCTTGGACTGTGCATTGTGAAATCGTCACCCCACGAACTGACCAATTACATGGTTCTAATTTTTTTTAAGGCTACTAAATTTTGGCCGGGTGTGGTGGTGCATGTCTGTAATTCCAGTACTTGGGAGGCTGAGGCAGGAGGATTGCCAAGAGTTCGAGGCCAGGCTGGGCTACACAGAGAGTTCAAGACCCGCTTGAACTACATAGTGCATTCAAAGACAGACTAAACTACGAAGCAAGACACTGTCTCAAAAAAATGAGTGTTTATTGACCATTTCCTCTGCCAGGGACAACATTAGATGTTATATATAATATAATCTCACATATTCCTCACATGGACTGCCTGAACAGAACTTCTAATTTCCTGTTTGTAAATGAACACTTGCGGGCACAGCAAGGAGCAGCAACTTGCCTGAGACCAAGAAGCAGATGAGTGTGGACCGGAACTCAGGGCCGAGCAGCCCAAGCTTTGAGTCCACTGCCCCATCGGAAACCAGAGGCCCAGTTCTCACCCTCATCAAGTTTACATGGAGGTGGGAGACAAGGTTAAAGACGCACAGAAATACAGACCTGCTGTGAGGTCACAGGGACAGCTCTGGGAGGGTGGGAGGGATGGGCAGGTGGCTGACAGAGCCTGGGCCAAAGGTTCGCCCCAGGTCTTGGTTCCCACCTTCAGTCCGATAGAAGTGACCTGGAAAGTCTGTCAGAAATGCAAATTCCATGCTAGGTGTGGTGGTCCATGGCTGGACCACAACACTTGGGAGGCTGAGGCAGGAGAATGCCTTCTGAGATCCTGTCTTTAAAAAACTGAGGAAGGAGAAGAAAGGACAGAAGAGGAAAAGGAAGAGGCAAGAAGGAGAATGTGGAAGAGGAAGAGGATGGGAGAAGGAGAAGGAGGAGGAAGAAGAGGAGGAGGAAGGAGAAAAAGAGGAAGAAGTGGAAGAAATGCAAATTTCTCAGATTCCTCAGCAAATTCCTAATTCCCCAGAGATTCTACTTCCACGAGGCCCTCTGGGTATCCTGTATACCCTCGATATTCTGATTTGGTATGTCTGGAGCCTCCTAGAGCTTTCTTTTTCTTTTTCTTTTTTCTTTTTT